CCCCAAAACCCCAAAACCCCAAAACCCCTAGATTCTTAATTTGCCTTATTTGTTACGAATTTAATAAGTTAAATCTTCATTACTCAAATTTAGAGTCCAAATGATTTTTTTTCAAATCTAAAATTCATTTTAAATTCAAATTTTGCAAGAGTTGTATTGTTCTATTTCGAAATACTTAAGGGCACATACGATATTTTGCTATAAGTCTTTCAAGACGATCATCTTTCCTAGTGGGAAGAATAGCCCTGATAACTATTAAAATATCCAACTGTACCCTACCTTAGCAGCCATGACTTCTCCAAAGAGATTGCTATCTCCTTATAATCTTTGAACTGATTCTCTAATCGAGCTGACATCATTAATGTCTATTGATAATAAAGACTATGGATCAACTTCAGCAAAACTTTTTAATTTCATGAAGATATATGAGTAAAGCTAGAAGTATCTCCACTTGAGATCGCTAATTTTTCCAGTGCTGCCATGCATTTCAATATATGTATAGCCAGGATTATTATTAAAGATTGGACTTCCGCTTGGTGTTATGATCATTTTAAGTTCTAGATTTGGGAATTCAGAAGAGAGAGGGGCTCTAATATCTGCCCAATGGATGTGAGCTCCAAATAAAAATTGGATCTTCTCCTAGTTTTAGTAAAAGATCTACAATAGTTAAGTAGTATAGTTGGTTCTCATGAATTATTCTACTCCATTGAAGAAGAAAAGTCCTGGGAATATATGCATTTGAATGATAAACTTATGATCTGAACTGGCTCCAGCTAGTTAATTTGAAAGCCATAACAGCTACTCGTCTCCAGTTTATAAGTCTATGTCATTTCTGATACTGAAATAAATGGTATTAAGAGCAATAAAGCTGATGCTATCAGTTAATTCATATCTGTAATATCCTCCTTTCTTGAAAGTAGTCTCAATTTCAGAGAGTTTTGCATACTATGAGTTTTTAGTTACATTTGAAAACCATATATAAAATAGATCTCCGTAATATTGGTCTTTAAAATCTATTTTAGGCGCTGAATAGTGCTCGACAACATCATTATTTCCTATGCATGGCAAGATGATAGCTTCTGTGAATTTTGTCTTAAATTATTCAATTACTTATTCGATTGTTGACTTCATCATATCCCAGTTAGTAACTCCTGGAGTTCTAGAAGCTAAACCATGCATTACAAAATCTCCGGAGAGAACTAGAGCATCTAACTAGTTCTCTGGATTGAAGTTGTCATGCATATCATCAATCAGACTTTAAACAAGATTTGGAGATGAATCGAGCCCATATTTTCCATTGAAATAACAAAATGGAAAACTACATTCCTCATCGAATGTGATATTCAAATGAATATCATTCATTAGAGCCATTTTCAAAGATTGTGTCTGCTGAATTAAAGTAACAGTGAATAAGGTTGCTAACTAAATATAATTTTTTCTCATTTTATGGATATATTATTAACTGAATGATATCTATTATAATAATTATTTTAATATCCTAAATGAATAAACTTGCAATCACTCTTGTCATTAGTAGCATCCTAGTTTCAGTCTAAGCCATCTCAGTTAATGAAACTATTGCAGTAGTAGCTGGCTTGTTAGATGGAGTAATTAAAAAGGACGATCTCAAGGAGCTCACCACTTGCATGACTGACGTTGATGATGTTAGTAAATCAGTCGAGACCATTTACTCTGACTTATCCTCCATGACTATGACTGGATTACTAAGTGGTCTTGAGGAAGCTGCCAAATTAGTTGCATTCCTCCCAAGAGATTTCCAACAATGCGAAGGAATCAGACCAGACATTGACAGATTCACCAAGTTTGCTTCAGTCTTCATTCACCCTTCAGACCTAATTCAAAGACTAGAGACTAACCTCCCAGCTCACTTAAATGAAATTATGTCAGATGTTCAAGCTGCTAACCAAGACTATACCGAAGCTAAATTCTTCGATTTCGGTGAAAACCTTGGTGAAGTCTTGGTCCTTGCTGTTGGTCAAGTCTCCGCATCATTCATTCAATGAATTTGTTTAGTTTGATTCATCAATCATTAATTTCTTCTACTCTATTAATTCATTTATTACAAACACTCTTTTGAAAAAAATGAAAATGATACTTGATGGGGTTTTGGGGTTTTGGGGTTTTGGGGTTTTGGGG